TCAACAGCTGTGTCCTCTGATGGCTTGACCAGGCTCGGACTCTGAAGTCATGGAGCTGAGTGCATGGACAGCAATGAGTGCCACAGGAATGCCTCCGAATCCGTGTCTTGCCCCTGGTGCTGTGCAGGTAAGGCCACCCTGGGAGAGACCTTGCTTGAGGCCTGGAGGAGGGACAAGGTTGGTACTCTTGAGTTTCCCATGTTGGCAAGGTGAGGATACACCTTTGGAACTGTTATCTGTTGACTCTCTAGGTCTCCTTTTAGGCCAAGAAAGGGATTTTTGCAGCCACAGTGGTGTCCTGACAGGCTTGGCTGTGGGTGACTGCCTCTGCTGGGTCTGTCATATGGGAGTTGCTTTGCAGGTTGGTGCTGTCCCACCACATCTTTCATGTGTGTCGGTACCCCAGGAAGGACTCGCCCGCCCTCCTGGAAAAGTTCTGAGGAAGCTGTCTCCAGGGGAAACAGTTAATCTCAGGCTGGTTTTCTCTGTCCAAACAGTGAGCATGTATATACCAATAGTGTGAGCGAGCAGAGGTCCTCTTGAGTGTAAGCTGTCTAATGGTTTGTCTTTAGTCTTCTCAGAAGTTGTCATACCTGGGTGTCAATTGGTTTCTCAGGAGGTTAATGCAATACCTTGTCCTTACTGTGTCATTTTGACTGGGGCACTATTCCCCCTCTCACTTGCAACCTGCCAAGCCCCCCCATTGTTCTGGGCACAGCTCACCTTTGCTCAAGCTGCACTTGCTCTTTCTCACCTAAAAACCTCTAGGTAGCATTGCCAGAGTGGGTGTCCCGTGGTAGTGTTTATGACCTGTGGTCTTCACGTGTGCCAGGACTGTCCCGTGGAGCATGGGAGGGAGGGAGGATTATTTGGAGACAGAGTAGTGGAGTGGATCCTGGTGGACTGCTGGGCACGTGGCTGTCTATCCCACACGGCACCCTTGTGCTCCTGCTGGGGCTCTGGGGAAACTGGGGATACCAGTTTGGCTCTTCCAGCCCCGTCAGGACCTGCAGTACAGAGCATGCGCCCCTGCCTCAGCCTCTCCAGCACAAAGTCCGGGCTCTTGGCTTTGAAACCACCCTTATCAGCAGTTTCTCGGGTGCCAGGCCTTGGGCTGGAGCAGCATGGGAGCAGGCCCGCTCCTTTCTGTTGTCTTGGCTGCTGGGTAAGGAGAGGGGTGTGCTGTGTCAGGGATGGAGCATATGCTGGAGCTGAAGACTCTCTTCTATTCCTGCTGAGAGCCTGGGCTGCCCTCTCAGGCTATCCTAACTGATGCTGGGGTTCTCTGAGCCCTTGTCTCTGTCACACATGAGTGGTACACCTGAAGTAGGCACTACACCATTCTTACTGTAGGTGCAGGTATTTCTGCAGTATAATGCCAGGTCTCTGCCCATCGCTGTAGATTTATTCCCTCTCTTCATCCACCTTCTCTAAAATTCCATTACAAGTTGCATTGGGATGTAAGAAAAGACAGGGAACCAGGCTGGTGGGTGTTGGTGATTTTCAGAGGTAAGGTCTCCTAGGCCAAGCTCAGTTGTCCGTCTTGGGATGGAGGGACATTTAGCTGTGGATCTGCTGTCGCTCTGGCTGGGCTGTGCTATCACTCTGCCTGGCCTTGTGCAATGGCTCTTCTTCCAAGTACCAGGTGTCACTCACCTGGATGCCCCCATGTGCTCCCCCCCCCGAGGGCTGTGCCACTGCCATCCGTGGGCTGGAGAAAAGCACAAGGTGTCTGCACAGCCTTGCCCTTGGTGTTTGTCGGGTGCGTTGGGGAGCAAGTGTCAAAAGCCAGCGAGTGCTTTGGCTGTGCCGTGCCCATGGGAAGGGTTTGGCTGCGATACTGGTGTTGGGGCCACTGTGGGTGCTCCCACCTGTGCCTCGTCCCCTCAATTGCTAAGAAATAATCTCCTCATGGCTGGGCAACCCTATGGCTGGGCAAACGATCAGGTTCTGGCTGCAGGCAGTGAATCCAAACTTGAGACTTGCTTTTCTGTTCCTGGCTGTGCCAGCATCTGTTCTGTGGCCACAGGCAAAGCTGCTCCTTGCTTCCCTGCCCTCTGTCCCTTTGCCAGTCTCACACCACTAAAGCCCTGGCTCCTGCTGCAGCTGTTTTGTCTGTCCTCTCACACACTGAGGCCCTGTTTTTTGGGGGCTGGTCAGGGAGTGCTAGTGCAACTGAAAATTACTTATTGCCAACAAATAAAGGTAAAAGGAGGGTTGTAAAATTACCAGAGGTCTGAGACATCTGTCAGCAGCTTTTAAGGGCTCAGCTATGAACCAGGGCACTGCTTGTCCTGAGCTCTTGTGTGGGGTGAGCAGCATCCACTTGCTCCCCACTTCTCAGGTTGATGCAGTGACAAAGGACAGTTGAATTTTTGTACAAAGGGTCTTCTCAGCTGAGAACCACAAGATGTGTTGCTGTCCCTATAGGAAGGACTTCTGAAGCCTGAGCATCTGGATTAACCTAAATGTGTTTTGGGTGCGTCGGGTTTGGTTTTTAAAACACTTGTGTTTGCTAGAGTCTCTGCAAGGCAACATTAAGAGCAGTTTTGGGTTTGATGTCCAGTAGCTTGACTCCAGAATTGCTGATGGGTTGGAACTGGTGCCCTGGGTTAGGCTGGTGTGCCCTAGAGGGTGCCAGGCATGCATGGCTTCTGCTCACCATGGTCTTGGCTGGGTGGATGGTGTGTCCAGCTGTCTGTCTGCCAACACTGTCACACCCTCTTGGTCTCCTACCACCATGAATTGCTGGATCTCAACTCCATCATCCAGGCTGGCTTGGCTGTGCTGCCTGGAGCAGCCTCCTTCCCTCCCTCCCTCCCTCCCTGCCTGGCCGCAACCCTTTGTGTTTTGTCTTCCGTAGCCTCTGCAAATGCTAATTAGTCTTCTCCGCACCTCAGCGAGATAAGGGATCCTTGTTCGTATGTTGCAGATAAGGAAAGTGGCAGAACTTGTTTGAAACAATCTCCTCCCTCCCCCACAAAGATGATTGAGTCTGTGGCACACACCCCTGCAGCCTGTGCCCCTACGTCCTCTTTCACTTCGGTTGTGAGGGCACCATTCTTGACTGGTCCCCAAAAAAAGCACAGGAACATCTATGGCCGTGAGGCTTCTGAGCTGAAGCAGCTGGAGGACAAGGCTGGATGCCATTGCTGTGAGCCCTGGGGCAGCAGCATGGTGGGAGCAGGCACTGGGATGGGATATTCACAGAGAGAGAGGGAGCCCTGCTGTCTCTAGCCCAGGAGATCGGTGCTGATCAGGCTGCAGAGCAAGTTCAGTTATTTCTTTCTGCAGTGCCAGTCATGTCAGTGCTGTTGGAGCAAGCAGGGGTGCTCTGTATGTGTGGAAAACTGGGCTGGCTGAGGGTGCTGTAGCTCCGGGTGCCTTTTGAGGCTGTTTTTAGCTGGTGACATCTGTGAGCATTGAGGGGAGGATTTTGGGGACTGTTTTGAAAGAACTTGCTCGTCCTCCACTATCAGGAAAGTTCAAAAGCCTTGTGGCAAGCTTTGTGTGGTAGAACTGGGATTCTCAGTGAAGTGCATGTGGAATAAATGAGGGACATGTGGGACTGCCACTTCTCATGAGGGGAAGCAATGCAGATGGGTTGGGGAGGTCCTGCAGGAAAGGGGAGGATCCAGGGAGAGGTTGGACTTCCCTGGAGTTGAAATCCCTGTGCAGATGCCTTAGAGAGAGGAACTGGGGAAGGGGAGTGAACATGGCTCTGTCCTGCCATGTCTGACTCTGCCTTATTGACACTTCAAAGCCTCCAGCTCTGAGCAAGGCCGGGCCAGCAGGATGAATCACTGGTTTCAAGGCTCGGAAGGGGACCGGTTTTGATCATCTAGGCAAAGTTGTCCAGCCTTGCACAGGAGATCAAAGGCAGCTTTGAGCAGAGCTGAGTAGGCTACTTAGGGTGTTTCCTGGGGCATCCCCAGATAGCCTCTGCATTCCACCCACCCTCACCCTACCCCAGTCAGGGCTGCCTTGCTTTTAAACAAAGCCAGTGAGTCAGCGGAAAAGCTCACTCCTGCCGGCTGTGTGGCACCTGGCACGGGCTACCCCTCGAGGCAGGGGACAGTGGGCCCTCTTCTGCCTGTGGAGCACCACTGTCCTGGAGGAGACCCTCGTACCTGGTCCTTGTGGGGCTGGTTTGTGTTGGGCAGTGACGTGCTGCTCTGTTGGACTGTGTGCCCTGCGTGAGCCTGATCCGGAGACCTTGCAGTCAAACCTGTGAGGGGGAAAACAAATCGGAATTTCTATTTCTGCCTGTAAGGAGGTGATGTGTGAGCAGGAGCCAAGATGGGTCATGGTGGGGTTGAAGTCTTTACTTCCTGTGAGGTCTGTGGTGGTGTGAACCCCAACAGTTGCACTCTGATACATTAAAACACCCCAGAGGCACTCTGGTGCCTAAATACTTTTGGCCGTAGGAGGATTTGGGCACTTCATGGATCTGGTTACTTCTCTCTGTATATTCCCTGTTATGAACTTGCTGTCCCCTGCTGGGATGCTGGAGTTCAAACCAGGAGACAGCAGTGCCCGTGTGTGCATCCCTCCGCCGAGCCCTCCTCTGCACCCTGGGGAGGGCTGGCCGTGGCTGTCATGATGGGCCTTGGCTGTTCAAGGGCGTTTGCTTTGCTGTTCAAAGCAGATCAGGTTCTCCCTGGTGCTTTGCAGAGCGAGCTGAGCTCCTCGAAACCCCTCCTCCCTGGCTGGCAAGGCTGAGTCGGGAGGGCAGAACTAAGTCAGGGAGTGCCTTCCTGCAGCAGGACGGGGTTAAAAGTCCATCTCTTGGCCACCTGGATTGATTTTCTGATGTTGTGATAAGGCCCTTAGGAGACACAGGTTGGGAACTGGCTCTGTTTCCTCTTCACCTTTTCCTCTTAGCCCTCCTTTGCTGAAGGGGGAGCTGGTTTGCTTCCTGCCTGCTTCCCTCCAGAGCCAACATGCCCACAGCCCTCAGCTATGTTTTTAACAGTTTTGTTCTCCTCCTCCTCTTGCAGAACTTACGACTCCAGCAAAAGTGGTGAGGGCTGCCAACCCAAGACAGCGGAAAGGAAGCAAGGTAAGGCTGTACCTGCTGTCCCTCTCTCTGGCCTCCAGCTTCTGGTGCAGTTGTCAGTGCTGCATGAGTGTCTTGAGGGCCTGGAGAGCAGACCCCTCCCTTGGCAAACCTGTTTGTGGAGGGGCTGACTTGCTGGCATGGCTGCTTGCAAGGGTGTGGAGGAAAACATTGTGATTCTCCATCTCTTCAGCATTTTAGTGGTCTTGCATGATGCCTCGTCTGGTTTTCTGCCCAGCCAGGCAAGGGAAAACCTTCTTACCTCCTCTCTCACAGGGAGGAGCTTGGAGCAGTCCTGGATGTAGAAAACCTGTCCCCCCACTGCAAGGACACCCCAAGTTCCTTGTGGGCTCAGCCTGTGCCCTGTTTTGCAGTGCAGGCAGGGCAGCAATAGTGGTGCGTCCACAGGTCCCTTCTTCCCTGTGCTATCTGTTCCTCACTGGCACATGGAGAGCCAGAGTAATCGATTTCAAACAAAGCAACTCCTTTGGAGGAACCTGGCCAGTCTGTTCCAGGAGATCAGTGTGTGATGGAGGGACAGTTACTGCTGAAGATGTTACATGCAGCTGGGGCACAGCAAGGGACATGGGTTGTTGGTGTTGGCTCCCAGCAACCAGTGAAGACGGATCTGCAGCTTGATAGGCCTTTCCTTATCTTTTCCATTTTGGAGAGAGGAGAGCCCTGGGGATGGAAGGTGCTCCTATCTGTGAAACAGGCATGGCCCTGCACTGGAATTGGTTTTCTCAGGAAACCAGCCTCCTGAGGAGAGGAGCATGGCACCTGAATGTAAAGATGTGATGTCCTGAGGAACTCAGTGACTCCAAATTAATACAGAAATAAAAACCCCACAGGGGCAATGAGGAATTTCTGTGCCCAGATAAACTCAGTGCCCAGCCACGATTCATTGGTACCTGGGCAGCTCTTTAGGTTCTTTCCTCTGTCCACTGGTTCTCTCTGAAATGTGAAAGGTAGAAATGATGGCAATGGTGAGGTCATTTATTGAGCAGAGAAGTGACCAGTGTTCCCCATATGGGCAGGGGGTGACTGGAATGAGGGAGATCCCATCACCTGCTTGAATTTTCTCACCAGTCCTGCTAGACAATCTGTTTGCTTTGTTGTTGGCATGTGGGTGTAGTTGGGCACTTAAGTGGAGCTGTGCTTGGCTGTGACCTGCCACTAGGTGGAGGAGGTTCTTTAATGGGATGTGGTTGCTTCAGATGGATTTAGAGTGCTGGAAGCTGAGTGCTTTCCCTGTCCAAAGGATGGTGCTTATGGTGAGTTAACCTGGGCTGCTTGCCTACCAAATGCTGCTGCTGAGGCAAAATGAGACTTGCAGGACTGGTGACAACCTTGTTACAATTGCTGATAGACATAGTTTTTTGGGATTAATTCAGGGACCCTGCCTGGGGGGGAGAGGGGCTGTGTATATGCAGTTTGGATGTCACCCTCAAGCCTCCCAGGGACAGCTGTTTGTGGGACGGTGGTGTGTGGAAGTGCTTCTGGCTTCCCTAATGCAGAGAACAGCACTAATGGGACCTTTCTCTTTGGATTCCAGGTTGGTGACTTTGGTGATGCCACAAATTGGCCAACACCTGGAGAAATAGCCCACAAGAGTGTCCAGGTGAGAACACAGAACCATTGCAATGAGCAGGATAAGGCCCTTGCAGACCTCTCTGTCCCTCTGGAAGCACTGGCTGAGCCAGGCCATTTGGGGTGCTGTGTGTCAGTGTGGAGGCAGCCAGGAATAGTGTGCAGGGGATTTCCTTTTAGGGCTGCCCATGCAGCCGACTCCCTCCCTCAGTGCTATTCTGGGAACCTGGAGCCCAGTCTAAACCTGGGCTGGGTGAAACAGGTAAGGCAGCTCTCAGACCCACTCTCCTCAGGGCTGCTTAGTGCAGGAAGGGGCCTGGGCCAAAGTCAGGACTTCCATAGGAGGAACTGAAAATGTGTGAGAAAAGGGCTGGTGTGTCTGAGGGGCTTGGCCCTTCCTCTCCTGCTAAGGGACCTGGGTGTCATTGAAACCTTTCTATTTTTGGATGCTGCTCTGCCAGCCCCTGGTTGTCTGTCACTCACTGTTTTGCCAGTCTGGTCCATTATAGGACACTCCCATCCAGGAGCTCCAGGCCTCCCTGGCAGTCCATCTTAGTGTCTCAGCACATCTGGAGCACTTTGCAGCATCTCCCAGGCCCTTGCCCTGCTCATCCATAAGCTCCCCAGAGGAGCCGGAAGTTCTGGGAGGTGCAGAGCAGGGATGCTTCCAGCCTAGGACAGGGTCTTCCTGATGGGACAGTTGGGTTCTACCTTCAGCCCTTCCTTTTTCCCACCTCTCACATCTTTCTTGCACTGGTGTGTCTCCAGCAGCCGCATAAAGCACCAACCCTTCGGAAACTGCCTGTCAAGAAAGACATGAAAGAGCAGGAGAAGGGGGATGGGAGTGATGGCAAAGAGAGCCTGAAAACCAAATCAGATGAGTCGGGGGAGGAGAAGAACGGTGATGATGACAACCAGAAGTCAGCGCAGAAGAAGAAAGGTAAGGCAGAACCTGATGAGGGCAGTCCCCTGGCCTCAGCCTGTCTCCCCATCCACAACCCAGGTGGAAGCATCCACTGCCTTCCCTGGGGGACATGCTGCAGGAAAGAATCCCAGCGTGGGGACAGCTGTAGTGAAAGGTGTTTGCAGACTTCAGAGGAGCACAGTGTCATATTGGTGGGAGCAGGGCCCGAGTAGGGGTGTGACAGGAGCCTGCCCTCCCTGTGCTCTGTGGTGGCACAGAACAGCCCCTGACTGTGGGTTGTGTCAGCTGTGGTTGACACATGGGCTTGGTCTGGTCTGAGCAGGGGCAGAGGAGGGACAAGTGCTGTGGCAAGTGCAACAGGAAAGGTCTGTGTCATGTCCCTTCATGCCTGAGAGTCATGGTCAGTGCCCTTCTGCATCCAGCAAGGCCTGGAGGGATGTCCAAGGACAGGGTCTGTCCAAAAGGCCCTGCTGCTTTCTCTCCTCCGTGTGTGGGGGCTGTGTGGCAAGAGAGGGCTGCGGGGGAGGAAGCAGATGCTCTCTGAACCTATGTCACACCCAAACCCTGTCCTTTTGCAGGCAACAAACACAAGTGGGTCCCTTTGCAGATAGACATGAAGTCAGAGGTGCCTAGGGACAAAACCGCCTCTCGGAACAACCGGCAAAACGAGCAGCACAGGCACCCCTCCAACAACCGCAGCGAACTGAAAGGTGGGGGCTCAGGCTGGGGACCTGCTCCCTGCCCTGGCCGTGGGGCACAGCAAGCCCTCATGCCCAGTGGGCACATTTCCTGCCTTCAGAGGGCTCTGGGTGCAGCGGGCTTGCTCCAGGGAGGTGCTTTCATTCTGTAACACTCCTCCTGCCTCTCCTTCCCTGTCTGCTGCAGGCTGGCACCCAGACAACAAGTTCGACCGCAGCTGGCAGGACCACGACGAGACCTCCAGCGTGAAGAGCGAGGGAGGGGCCGTGCGAGGGACCTTCCGGGGCCGAGGCCGTGGCCGTGGCAGGGGCCGTGGCCGTGGCAGAGGAGGTGATCACTGTATGTGTGGTCTTGTGACAGCAGGGAGAGAACTGGGCATGTGACAAAGTGTGCACAGCTCTGCGTCTCTGTGTGTGAGAGATTTGGGCCTCCAGAAGTGGGCTGGGAAGGGCAGAGCACTGTAGGGATACAAGGAAATATTGTGGCAGGTCATCCCAGCTGATAAGTTGAGCTGCTTTTAACAAGACAAAAAATTCTTACTAGTATTTTAATAGAAGCAAATGTCTTCCCACTACTCAGACCAAGCTGTTCTTCCTGTTTTCCTTGCAGTATTTCTGTGAGCAGGAGTTGAAACATGTTGATACTCCGTGTAGGCTTTATGTCATGTTGAGAGCCAAGCAGGAGGTGTGTCTCGGATAAGGGAAGCGTCTGCCCTGGCATTGGACTGGGCAGTGTCTGTGCTAACCCTCACCTGGCTTCAGTATAGGGCCTTTGTGTGTCAACTGGGCTGCCCAATTACTCCTGGATAAGAGGGCTTCTGGCCTCTCCTGTGGCAAAGGCAGAGATCATGTGGATGAAGGATGTGGGTGCCCCATTAAGGGCTGCAGTGGGGTCCTCAGGAACAGTGCAGGGGGAACTATTTGTGCAGGAGTCTGGCCCCATCTGGCAGCACAGCCTGTCTGGCACATCCCAGTGTCTCTGTGCTGACCCTTACTGGTGTCCCACAGGGCACTTTGACTACCAGTATGGGTACCGGAAATTCGAGGGCTCGGATGGCTCCCGCACCCAGAAGTATGCCAGCAACATCACCTACTACTTCGACAACATCAGCAGTGCTGAGCTCTACAGCGTGGACCAGGAGCTGCTCAAAGACTACATCAAGAGGCAGATGTGAGCACCACCTCTTGTCCTTGTCTGAGCATTGGGTGGTGGGGGGGACTGCATGACCAGTCCCATGGGAATGGTTAGAACTGAGGTGTGTTGACACTCTGCTTCACTTACAGCACCAGCTTGCCCCACATCTGGGCTCCCCAGGCTTCTCCCTTCAGTAGCTTAATTGGGAGGGGGGTATAATTCCTTAGGGGTTGCCCAAGGGACAGTGACTTGGAGCTTCCTCTCACTGACATGTTGTCCATACAGAGAATATTACTTCAGCGTGGACAACCTGGAGCGAGACTTCTTCCTGCGCCGCAAGATGGACTCGGACGGCTTCCTCCCCATCACCCTGATCGCCAGCTTCCACCGAGTGCAGGCACTGACCACCGACATCAGCCTCATCATCAAGGTGAGGGCAAGGAAAGGTGGCCTTTCCTTCTTGTCCTGCATCTCACCACCCTTTGCGTGGTGCCTTTTTTCTATGGACGAGTTAGCCCCTCAACGTGCCAAGACTAAGTGCTAAGTTAACCAAGTATCCCTTGGTTCCAGGCTCTGAAGGACAGCAAGGTGGTGGAAATTGTGGATGAGAAGATCAGGAGAAAAGAGCAGCCAGAAAAATGGGCTCTGCCTGGCCCTCCTATGGCAGACTACACTCAGACTGACTTCTCACAATTCATCAATTGCCCTGAGTTTGTCCCCCGGCAAAGCTTCCAAAAAGAGACAGGTGAGCACTGGGGGAATGTGGAGGGAGGTGTGGGATGTAGTGCTAGGACTGCAGCAGGACTGAGACCCTGATAGTCAGGAGTGTTCCCCAGGGCAGGGCTCTGCCACTGGCTTTCTGCCTGGTGGTGGGAGCTGATCTGAGCTCTGTCCTTGGACCTCCAGAGCTGCTGCCTCCATACGTGGGGGGAAACATGAGAGACTGAGTCTTGTGGCTTTTCCTCTGTGGGGGCTGAAGGCATTCAGGGAGGGTCACTCCTGCTGGAAGTCTCTTGGCTGTGCCCAGTCTTATGGCTGCTGGGCGGAGCAGAGGACACTTGGAAATCCAACTTTTCCTTACCGGGTGAGGAGATACTGGGCATAAATTGGGCAGCAGGTGTGGAGCTGTCAGCCAAGTGCTGGGGAAGGGTCTGCTGTCCTTCATGAGCTGCTCCTGCTTTTGTCACCCAACCCCATGGGGGCTGGCAGGAGCCCAAACCTGCACCTGAGAGCCCAACTGGAGAATCTTCTTGGTCCTGTTGTAAGAGTTTTGGCAGGAGAAGATCTATTCCCACTGGCTCCAGACTGTCTTGGGAAGGTTTCCCAGAGAGCAGCACAGCATCTGCCTTAGGGCTTTGTGTGTCTGGGAAACTGTCACCTGGAAAGCTTTGTGGCCACCACTGGCATTAACTGGAGATTCCCACTCCAGCACCTGTGGGCACTGTGCTGGTAGCCTTGGCCACAGGATGCCAGCTAGTCCTGCAAGCTGTGCTGTGCTGCCGGAATGACTCCTCCTTTGGTCAGATAATTTGTAAGTACACAACCCTCCAGGCTCCCTCCCTCCCTCTAAAGCACCTTGTGGCTCTTTTTGGCTCTAGAGTCTGCTCCTGGCTCCCCACGTCCTGCCAGCCCCGTCCCCACCAAAACAGAGGAGGTCAGTAACCTGAAGACAATGCCCAAGGGCCTGTCCACAAGTCTGCCAGACCTGGATTCAGAGACATGGATTGAAGTGAAGAAGAGGCCTCGGCCTTCCCCAGCCAGGCCCAAGGTAGGTGGTGATGTAGAAGCTCTTGGAGTGGGTGGTTTCCCAGTTGTTGAGGTGACTTGAATCATAAGTTGACAGGCTTCAGATCAAATAGGGTATGTGAGCCCCTTTGGAGCTCCTCCTCAGTGGTGTGAATAAGGTGTTCTGGCTGGGGTGAAGAAACAAGGGGCAGTAGCTTGATCTCTTGTCACTTGTTTCGCTGTGTGGTCTTTACCCTTGTGTCACCCTTGTCCCCCTATCTTTAGAAACCAGAGGAGTCAAAGACACCCCAGCAGCAAAAGCAAAAGGACCAAGATGAGCCTGAGGAGCTCGACTTCCTCTTCGACGAGGAGATGGAGCAGATGGATGGCCGCAAGAACACCTTCACCGACTGGTCAGATGAAGATTCCGATTACGAGATCGACGACCGCGACGTGAACAAGATCCTCATCGTGACGCAGACTCCTCCTTACCTACGCCGGCATCCTGGTGGGGACCGGACTGGCAACCACACCTCCAGGGCTAAAATGAGCTCGGAGCTGGCCAAGGTGATCAATGATGGGCTCTACTACTACGAGCAGGACCTGTGGACAGAGCAGTTCGAGCCAGAGTATTCACAGATCAAGGTGAGAGCGGCTGATCCAAGGAAGGGAGTGTGTGTGGGCTGTGGGGAGCCTCACATGCAGCAGGGTGGCTGATGGTTAGTGTGGGGTGAGAAGGGCAGTACAGCAGGTTACAGCCCACTCATGGGGTAGAGCTAAGCTGGGATTAGTCCTCTTGCAATGTTTGGACTTACTGGTTCCCAGCATCATGCCCTGCCATGTCAGGGATAAACACAGCTCTGTAACAAGATGTAAGGCTGAAGCCAGGTAAACAAAGTGCCAGTAGTGAGGTGACCTGGAACATGGGGCCCATTGCTCTGCTGTCTGCCAGGGTCTTGGCTGGCAGTGCCAGATCTGTGAGGGGAAACAGGTGTCTGCACTATCCAGAGCACCCTGTGCTTCATGGCACAGTCTGTTGGAGACCACATGTATTGGGGACTGGTTCATAGATGGCTGGGCTGCACTTGGCCTCTGCTCTTCTCCATTTTGGTATCAGTTTGCACAGACATGGGCTTTTTATAGAAAGCTCATCTACTGCTTTGAAACATTTGAGTCCCAGCTTGGTGACTCTCACGGTTGGGGACTTGCCTAGACTTGCTCAGTGACAGAAATTATGGCTGGAAGTGGGGTGTCTTGTTGGAGCTACAGCTGGGCTCAGTGCTTCCATGTCTGGTTTGTGGCCCCTGGCTGAAGGAATGCTGCTGTCTGGGGTGACAGAAGCTGTGGGGGAAGCAGGTGACAGGGACAGTGCGTGCTGTGGGTGTGGGTCCTTCAGATACATGGGAGTGTTGTGCCCCACTGCTGGCGTGGCTGTAGGGGTGTGGGGAGGGAACTCTAGGGCCACAACACCGTGGCAGTGGCAGGGGGGCCTGGCTAAGAACGGGTCACTGAGCTCACCTTGAGCTTTTACTGCACCAACACTGGCCTGGGTGGGTAAAAGCCTGAGAGAAGCAAGTGCTAATTAGTGGAGCTGCCTTGAAGGATCCCTGGAAGCTTAGGAGCAGCAAGTGGTTCATAGTTCATAACTGGACTGTGCAGTGCCCAGTTTTCTGTCTGCCACACCTCCCCTTCCTACCTCTGTGCAGCAGGTCCCCCTCTGGGCACCAGGCCCTGTAACTGCACTCAGGGCCCAGTGCTGTGGCTGTTGCACATGGTTGTGATGGGGTAAGGGCAGAAGAGGGCAATTTCTTCACCATCTTCCTCTTACAACATAGCAAGAGGTGGAGAACTTCAAGAAGGTGAATATGATCAGCAGGGAGCAGTTTGACACCCTGACCCCAGAGCCCCCTGTGGATCCAAACCAAGAAGTCCCTCCAGGTCCCCCCAGGTTCCAGCAAGGTAAGAGATGGGGCATGAATGGGTTGGACTGAATTTGTCCCTGTTCCTTATGCTGAGAGGTTCTTTAAGGTTGGGTAGCAGATAGGGAGAAGGAATTGGGACCACAGGCACATGGGATTATCTTTCCCAGAGTAATTATGTTCTTCCAACTGAATGTTTTGGGTCTCCATCAGAGGAGGTGCAAAAGAAGGGGTGTCCCAGTGGAGTGAGGTGACCTTGGCAAATTTGGATGTAATTACCTATATGTGACTTTCCTCTTGGACCCTCTCTGAGTACCTGGAAGGCAGCTGCCTGCTGGGCCTTGTTTGCCTGTGCCCCAGTGCCCCAGTGCCATGTCCTTCTCTTGGGAATGGGGGGTTTGTTGCTGTAGTTTGCCACTAGAAAGCAAATACCTTGTGGGATCCCTGGAAGCTCCATCCTTGGATCTGCTGCTAGGCTTTGGGTTTTCTGACCAAGCTGATGTCATGCTGGATTTGATGCCGGTCGTGTGGGAGGGCTGGGATGTGTCCCTGCATTCCTCCCCTCCCTACTTCCCGTGTGCCAGATGGCAGAGACACTCATGCTCAGAGCTCAGCCTGACCTGGCTGGGGGGGTTTCTCCCTGCAGTACCTACAGATGCTTTGGCCAACAAGCTGTTTGGAGTCCCTGAGCCTTCCACCATCGCCCGGTCTTTGCCCACGACTGTACCAGAATCACCCAACTACCGCAACGCCAGGACCCCCCGCACCCCCCGCACGCCGCAGCTGAAGGACCCGACACAGACGCCCCGGTTCTACCCCGTGGTGAAAGAGGGCAGGACGATAGATGCCAAGGTGGGAGCCAGGGCTGGGCTACATGATGGGAGCTGGGGTTTCCCAGCTGGGGCCTAGGAAGGAAGGGAACACATCCCTGATATATTGTGTCTTGCAGACTCCACGGAAAAGGAAGACGAGGCACAGTTCAAACCCTCCAATGGAGTGCCACGTGGGCTGGGTGATGGACTCTCGGGAGCACAGGCCACGAACTGCCTCCATCAGGTACCAGGGACATGTGTACAAGATCACGGAGCAGCCAGAAATGGGAAAGGGAGCGAGTGTGGGAAGGAAGGGGGAAGGCAGCATCTGCTCTTGCAGGGGAAGTCTCCTCTTAGGTGACTGCAGAAAGAACTAGGACCAAACTTGCCCCTCCTGGAAGGGCTTGGGGAAAATCTGAAGCCATGGAGAACAGCGAGATGAAACTTTGTTAGAAACATTGATTCCCTTCCTAGTAGGCTATTCCATGGCTCAGATCCCAAGCCCAGGGTAGACAGTCACAGGGAGTGGGACCAGCAGACAGGTGCTATGGGGTGGAGCGTGGCCCCACTCCGCTGTTGGCTGGGTGGTGCCAAGGAAGGGTGTTGACAGGAGTCTCTCATGCTCAGCTCCAGCCCCTCGGAGGGGACTCCAGCTGTCGGGAGCTACGGCTGCACCCCACAGTCCCTGCCCAAGTTCCAGCACCCTTCGCACGAGCTGCTCAAGGAGAACGGCTTCACACAACACGTCTACCACAAGTACCGTCGGCGCTGCCTTAACGGTAGGGACGCTGAGGGGGGCAGGGTGTCCCTGCTCTGCTGTGTTGGGCGCAGGAACTGCCACAGGGCACAGACACAGGCATGGGCAGGGTCCTGTGGGACAGCCCTCCTGGCAGCTGATGTGTCCCCATGGTTTGTGGAGAGCATGGGCTGCAGTGTCCAGCACTGGGGCTGGGTGTTGTTACATTGCCATGTGGCCCTCCTGTGCATAAGCCCTTGACTCCCTGGGAGAGATCTGCCTTGTAATCATCCCCTCTTCCCAAAACAGAGCGGAAACGACTGGGCATTGGTCAGTCCCAGGAGATGAACACGCTTTTCCGGTTCTGGTCCTTCTTTCTCCGAGATCACTTCAACAAGAAAATGTATGAGGAGTTCAAGCAACTGGCTGTGGAGGACGGAAAGGAGGGATACAGGTAGGAGGGGAAGAGCAGATGGCCTCTCCTGGTAGGGGAGTGAGGGAAGAAGGGTTGGCCTTTCACAGGGCTCACAGCAAAAGGCAGCAGCTCTGCCTTGCTCGAAGGTGGGTCTGAGGTCACCCTCAAGTCACCTGCTGCTGGTGCTCAGCAGGGCTCTCGCCTCAAGAACCTCTGTGCCCTGTGTTGTGGGCACCTGTGTGTGAGCCCCCCATGCTGCTCTGTTCCCAGGTATGGTCTGGAGTGCCTTTTCAGATACTACAGCTACGGGCTGGAGAAGAAATTCCGGCCAGACATATTTAAGGACTTCCAAGAAGAGACCATCAAGGATTACGAAGCTGGTAGGTGCCTCCTTTGGGATTGGCAGTGATGTAGCCCAGCTGCAGGGCTGCCCCTGGGCCTCTTCTCATCATTTTGGGGAAGCCACATAATGCTGTATGTTAACATGTGCCACGGGGACTGGGTGGACATCCTGTTGCTCACTTTGTGGGAGGGTCAGTGGATGCTCACTGTCCTGAAGAGTCCTGGGGGATGGAGGAGGGCAGTGGGGGGCTGTAGCTCTCCCAAGGCATTCCTTTAGACACACTAGTTTGTATAAGATTTCTCAAGTCCCTCCAGTGGCTGGGCCTTGTCACCACCAGGTCAGCTGAGCTTGGAGACATCTCAAGTCAGGGGAGCTTCCCAGGACTATTGTAGGTTGCTTCCTTTGAGGTTTTCCATCTTGCCTAGGTTGTGCCCACCAGCAGGACAGGAGGGTTTGTGGGGAAGCCTGGAGGAAAGGTGTCTGACATCTGGTTTGGTTTTTGTCCTGCTGACATCTGGATTGGTTTTCTTTCTCTCCAGGGCAGCTCTATGGGCTGGAAAAGTTCTGGGCCTTCTTAAAATATTCCAAAGCCAAAAATCTGGACATTAACAGCAAACTGCAAGAATACCTCAGCAAGTTCAAGCGCCTCGAGGACTTCAGAGTGGATGTGAGTAGACACAGCGCCTGCACCACACTGATGTACCTGCAGACAGCCCTTGGCCCCTCCAAGGATGGAGGATTTTGGGGGGTCCCCAGGTGGTGGCAGGTTGGGGAGTGGGAGCAGTGACATCTACTGCTCCCTGTTATTGCAGCCGGGCCGGGAACAATCTGCAGGGTTGGAATGTTGTAAATCCACTCAGAGCAGGATGAAGGAGCTGGATGAGCCCGTCCTCCCTGATGAACTGAGGATGGAGAAGGAAAGGGAGCCTTGATGGTTTTAGTAGAGCCAACCCTGTGTGGAGCTTCTGCTCCTAAACTTCTGGACTATGCCCCTGTGTGGGAAGCAGGTGCCTAAGAACAAGTTATCACCATTGTGCTTGATTGGAATCAGTCAGTCTTTCTGTCAGCAGATTTGTCAGTGGGAGGTTTGGAGAGGAGGGCAGCTGAGTGCTTGGGATATGTATGTTCCTTGTGGGTCAGGGAGAGAAGTTGCAATTGGAGGCTTGCAGGAAGGCTCTTCCCTGATCCTGGGGGAGGGCACCTGCATTTGGAGGAGGCTGTGCTGATACTGGGGTGCTTCTCTTCCAGCCACCCATGGGGGAGGAAGGTGGACACAAGAGATACCCTTCGACGTCAGGGGGAGATGGCAGGAAGCGCTACCCATCCCAGTCTTCCAGCAAAACGGTCAGCCAGTGCCCATCCAGCCAAGCCCACGCCTCACCCAGCCAGCCTGCACAAGAGGATGCCAAAAACCTGAGCCAGCAATCCCCTGCCCCATCGGCCGCAGAGTCGCAGACAGTGGGGAAGTAGAGAGGCTGCAGCGTCTGCTTCCTGCCGGGGGGTGGGGTGGGTTGGTGGGGGACTGGCTTGGAGAAGGGAAGACATGAGGGGGTGGGACAGGAAGGGAGCTGGAAGGTGGGTGCCCAGGAATAGGCTGCTTGGGAGAAACTTCAACGCACACGATCTTCTTCTCTTGTGGCTGGAAAGCAAAGACTATCTACATCTAAAACACCATTTTGCTATTACAACCCTGACCAGAGCCAGACCCGCTCCCAGCAGTCCCACCCTTTCCCTTCCCTCCCCTCCTGTGCACACACTCATGTCTTAGCGTCTCTTCAAAAAAAAAATGTGTTCTGGTTGGGTTGGAAAGGGGAGATTTTTTTATTATTATATATATATATCAAGTTTTAAATTATTGCTAGAAGTTCGTCTGGATTTACCAAAACAAGTCTGCTCTGTGTGGCCCCAACGACTCCCCTCTGTGTCCCCCCTCGGATCTCGTGGGGCAGCCGCTCAGGAAGCTCGGAGGAGCGAGGTTCCCCAGTGGGGGACCGAAGCCACAGCGTGTCACGATGCTGCGGAGCCTCTGATCTCCATGACCCGGCTGGCGTCTCCCATTCCACGTACGGCGGTGCCTCTCCCGACACCGACCACCGCGACAGGAGCATCGCCCTGTTCGTCCTCCTGCTCCCTTCCCAACCCCGACGTCTTCACCTTCCCGAGGGTCTGGCTCTTCCCTCTGCCCACCTCTCCCTTCTGTCACGGACAATTTGGAAGTCAACCAAAGGACCTTTGCCAAGGATAGGCTTGTTCTGACTCCTTCCTGCGAGGATGGCTGGTTGGGAGGCTGGCAGGCACCTGGACTCGAGCCTGCGTGGACGGTGCATCCGCTGCCCCAGGAATGCCCATCGCATGCAAAGACAGGACTTTGCCGAAGGAGCTTTTCTCTTCATTTTCCCTTGGAAAAAATGACATGACATAAAAAAACCCCACAAACCCCTCCAAAAAAAACGATGACAAAAAAACTCTTTAAAAAGACACATCTCCCTTTGCTTTCTTCCTTGGAAATATTATTGAAGAAAAAAAAGAAACAAACAAAAAAAACAAACAAAAAAACCCCAAAAACACACAAAAAAAAAGTTGCCTTATGGTGGAGCTGGACGGGGGAGGCTTGTTGGTTTCCTGCATCCTGGGGTGCACTGGGCTCTTGGCCCCCCCAGGCCCAGAGACTCCTCACGGCATTGCTGCCGAGCTGATCTTCCCTGCGGCCTTTCCTCTGACCCCGCAGCTCGCTCGGATGCCTCTCCTGTCATGGAGCCTCCCTACCAGGCCTGAGTCTCCTGGGGAAGGTGCCGAGGGCAGTCAAATCCAAGACTTGTGCTCACGCAGTAGTTGAAGCCGCTCCGCTGTGTTTGTACCATGGCAGCCTCCTCCCCATGACAGCAACTGAACGTGCTCATGGCCTTGCTCAGACCCCCCGGCCCTCTCCAGGCAGGAGGTTGATCTGCTCCAGTCTGTGCTTCCAGCGTGGTTGGGGGGTGAGCACCGAGATTGTCACAGCAGCTGGAGGGACTGGTCCTTTCTGTGAGCAAGTGGGAGAGCTGGCGTGTTCCTGGTACCACTCGATGCTGTAGCCTGACAGGGAGTGATGCAGCCCTAGGAAACCTGTCCCACAGCAGTCGCTGGCTCGGGACTGCTGGTGCAACTTGTGCAGGGGCGAGCAGGAGACCTGCCCAGCAGAGGAGAGCTCTGGCTTCTCACTTTGTATGTTGTGGTTTGGCAGGTGGCTGCATGGAGCCTCCCACTCAACACAGTCCCTGTGCACCTCCCAGGGCTCAGATGACACCGTGCAATGCAGCTCCTTGCTGGGCTGAGGCAGGACATGGCTGCAGAGCTGCTGTGGCATTTACTTGATTGATCCTGCTACTCCACACCGGGTAGGCTTTGGCAGGCAAACCCTCCCCAGCCTGTGAGCTTTGCAAGGGGCATGTGTCAGAGGAGTGAGATCTGAGATTTCCAGTGGTACCTTTGGAGTTGCTCCAGAGGTAGCACCGGAAAGTTGTTTCTTTCCAGCCAGACCCACCTGCCTTGCTGCTACCATGCTCCATCTCCTCAGTCCCTGGAATACCTGCCGTGCAGATGGCTTGGCTGTGGCTCTGGTGCTCCATCGCCTGAGCTGCAGAACGTGCTCCTTTGTGGTGTGGAGTGGAGCAGGTATGCAATAGGTGGCTCCAGAGGTGCAGCTCATTGTGTGACCCTCTCTGCACCATCACAAGTTGGTACCAAACAGCGTTTTCCCAAAGGATCCAGTTGATCCAGAGCTGGGAGGAGTCATCTCTCCAGGGCTGTCCTTATGCAGCCACGGGGCAGGTGGGTGAGAGCAGCCAGGAGCTGAGGAGAAGGAGCAGGAGGGGGAGCACGGTCAGGCTGTCATGAGCAGTGTCTGTGGGTGCTCACCAGGCCCTGGCTGAGGTCATCACTTCCCAAACTGATACTGCCTCAAGGATGCTGCTTTGGTGGGGGGAGCTGGGCTGGAGTGAAGTGGCTTCGTGAACTGCTGCTAGAATTGAGAGCACGGCTGGGTTTGAGAGGCTGGGGAGCTGCTACTTTGCTGTTTCCTGGTGGTGTGATCCTGCCCTGCTCCATCCACCCCTGCTGTGTCACCCTGCAGCTGGTACCACTCACAGGCCAGATTCCAGCAGGCCAGCCTGCCTGAGGCCATGGATGCTCCACTACGGCAGCAGTGCTCTGGGGTTGTGGGGTGGGAACTGGGCAATATGGGCAAAAAGTTAACACTTGTACAGTGCTGTGGCCGTGACTGTTATATCTGGATTTCCCCTCTTGTGAGCCAGAGTCAGATCTCTTGAGGTTACGGATGTAGCCGGGTTTGTCCCTGATTTGGGAAGGAGGAGGCTGGATCAAGGACATTGGAGATGTGTTGCTGGTTGTTTGCAAGTGGAAGCGGGTCTGGATGTGCGCGGGTGGCCCCGTTGCCACGTCCTGTGCTCCTCTTGCGGGTGCGTGTTCTCTTTAGAAGCCAATTGTCTGCATTTTAGCAACAAACATAATAGGAAATGAGGAGGAATGAGCTTCTGCTGTGGAGTTGTTGCTTGTGGAGCAGACTGTGGAATTGCTTGGGTAGTAGAAGAGGTAGAACGTTTCCCCAAGAATTTCCCAAAATCTGAGTTGATTTTAAATAATATTTTCACTTCTGAGCCTGAGACTCTAGTCTCAGAGTTTTCCCTTCCCCCTCTGCCAAGTCAGTGGTTTGTCACCTTAGTGTGTGCACCTGTTTCCCAGGGGAAGGTGGGTCAGAAGAGGAGTCCCAGTGGTCCCACCACCCTCCAGGTTTGTGGACTGTGTGCCTTGTTTTACTGTCCATCAGAGAGCAGTGGGCAGGGCAGAGCAAAGAACAGATGGACATGACAACCTGAGGCAGCTGTTGCTTGCTCCCACCTGTCTTCCTCCAGATGGAGGGAACACAGAGCCATTCACTCCTGCTCTGTGCAGGGGTGGGTGCTGGCAGAGGGCAGGGAGCTCCTTGGAGCAGTGTCCTGCACCCCTGTGCTGTGTGGCCGTGGCCTGGCCAGGGCTGCCCAGGTCTGTGCGTGGCTGCAGGAGGCACCACACATGACTTGTGTCCCACCTGGACGAAGGGACAGCTGTCCAGAGGGGCGTTGTATTTGAGGAAGTTCTTGCCCTCCTGTAGAGGACGGAGTTTGGCCTTGCTTTTAGCTTGGATCCTTCACCTCCCCGTGTTCTGTGCTTTTTTTGCTTTTAGAGGTCCGAGTGGTTGCACGTGTGCTCCTGTGAGTGCTGATCCGTCCCGCAGCTCACGAGAGCTGCGTGGTGCTGGTGCCCAGCTGCTTTGGGAAAGGTCTGAGGGAGGCTGAGTCGGGAGGGGGAAGTGCTCCCCTCTTCTCAGGAGGTCCCCCAGGCTGCCACAGCTTGGGGCTCCTTGCTGAGGTCAGCCCATCTTTGGGGTGCAGGTGGCTGCAACAGGTACAGAGCTCTGGCGTGGGGTCAGGAGTGGAGGTAGAAGGTGTGTTTCAGAGGAGGTTTTGTTGCTTTGCCATGCTCATTTGGGAAAAACAAACAAAAAAATAATAATACTGCTACTCTGTTTTTGCCTGTCCGTCCCTCTTCTGCTGCCCCCTTGCACCCCTGACAGGGGTCCCTTGAGTTTTGGGAACTGCTCGGGACTGGTCGACTGTACTGTAACAAACTGACGTGTTTAATCTCAGTGTCCTGCCATGTGTCTGCATGGCAGTGCAGAGGGGGCCTTCTAGCTGTTAATGCCTTTCCAGTTATTTTGTCAAAAAGAAAAAGAGGAAAAAAAAAAAAAAAAGGAAAATTGTATATGTAGCAAGCTGTGTTTGCAATGCTTATTGTCTCCTGTCTCCTCTGAGGCTGGTTATGTCACTTGTCACTGTTTGAAATGGGTGCTGGGCTCTTCTTGAGGGGGTTGCTACACTTGATGTTAAATGCCTCATTGGCTTTTTTTAAAGCTTCCAGTACAGGTAACAGATAAATGACATTTTTAACAGATGTTCCTCTCGGTGGCATGGAGCAGGCGGCTGGAGGGCAGCATTTCCAGGCGTAGTTTACAGTTTCACTTTCTGCAGACACTTGAACATAGGACCGATGTATCTGTGACAAGCACATCCCCTTGGTGGGAAGCTCCAGAGGAGTGGGCAGTGCCCTCGGTGCCAGCAGGCCCTGCAGGGTGTGCTGGGGTCCCCCTGGCCCCCCGTGCTGTCCCTGCTTGCTCCCCAGGTGCCAGCCCTGCACCGGGGGGGCTTGTGCCCGTGGTGCCCCTCGTGGGAGGGGGTGCTTGGTCCCTTCAAGCCTCCCTGGTGCAGCCCCGCTCCCCCTCCTCCCCTCCCAGCCTGTCCTGGTCCCGCTGGGGTTGAAAACCTTTGGATCTGTGGCTCAGAAACCCCTGCTGAGCTGCACCCCAGTGAGTGCAGCCCTCTGCTCTCTCGCCTGGAGCTAAAGGGGTGATGGTTTGATGTGCTGGCCCTTCTCAAACCCCATGTGTCCAACCTCAGCCTTCTGTTTCCCAAAACTAGAAAGTGTGTGCAACCTTCTTCAGCTGCATTTATCGTAGAGACAAACTTAAAATGACTCATCACAGACCATGTATCACTTGGGAGGAAAATCTTGTTAATACGGCCGGCTGTACATGATCCATCTCTGTTGATAGTACATAATCTTTGACCCATGTGCTAGGATCATCATCACGTATAAACGGAAAAGAGAAAAATGTAAAATACTTGAATGAGAGCTTGTATTATAACATTAATATTATTCAGATTATCTGCTTTCTAGGCTGATGTGATTCATTATTCTAGTAATGCTTTAGTCCTTTGTAATTTGTGGTAATTATGCTTTTTCCTTTTTAATACAAAAAAAATGTATAAAAATAAAAACTTCAAAAGACATCGCAGCCTGGGTTTTCTTTTCTGCTGACTTGCCCTCCCCAGGGAGCTGGGAGCTGA